AGGGGACTGAGGACACCACGTGAAATGTTCCACTTCATCATTACATCCAACCATGTTTGAACACAGCGAGCCGTGTGTACAGGGTGTTGCCATCTTGGAATAGAGAACGTTCTCCAGGAAACAGAGTATGAAGCATAGGGTGTAAATAATCTGCGAGAATACTACGATAATGCTCGCCTCTGACCTTCTCCCTCAGGACTACAAGTAGCCCCAAGCCACGCCACGATGTTGCTCCACACAGCATCACAGAGCCCCTCCATGCTTTACGATAGGAACCATACAGTCAACACGAAATACCTCTGCCGGTATTCGCCAGACAAACACACATCCGGTGGTCTGAAATAATGTAAATGATGATTCGTCAAACCAGATGACCTGTTTCCATTGCTGTTGTGTCCAGTTTTGGTGGTCTTGGCACCACTGTCGTCGTTTTATAGCATTCTGTGGTGACACTAACGGCTTTAGGATGGCTACTCAGCCATGAATGCTCGCAGCATGCAGCTCTCGTTGAATAGTTTTGGTGGATACGTGGTTCTGGAGATGGGTGTTCATCTCAGAGGTTATCTGCTGCAGTGTAGTCTTATGTTTTTGGGCAACTATCCTCTTCAACACTCGTCTATCCCGGTCGGTCAACTTCGACTTTCGTCCACTGTTCTGCTTCGCAGAGAATACCTTTCCCAGTTTTGTGTAGACTGTCATAATCCTTGACACAGTGGACCTTGAAATACCCATAAGGTTGACTGTTCTAGACACGGATGCTCCAGCGTGGCGAGCTCCAATAATCATGCCTCTATGCACGCCGGACAGGTCGGACATAATGGCGCTTTGCTGGGAACAGAATTTTTTCATGCAAATGTCGCACTGCCAAATGTTCAACTGATACTTTTCCTTTTACCGCCACTAGATGGCAGACTGTTGCGACACGTGCTGGGGCTGTATTGGACAGTCGAAGTACAACACATTTCGAAAGGGGTGTTCCTATTATTTTGTCCTATACCTGTATATACTAATTTCACATGAATCCTAGTCTATGTCAACGCGCTTGTGTAAATAAACACGCACATAATATGTTTATGTACGTAAACAGATTGTAGAATTTAGGAAAAGTAAACAACTCGTCAAACGAGTAATTACATCTTGTATTTTTAAATCAGTTTGCGATATGAAGCAAAACTTAAGAATAAAACTTTAAATAAAACTATAACTAATCTTTACTTATAAGTTTAGAAAAAATATTTATAAAATAAATAATACTATAAGAAGTTGAATTGAAGTTTGTGAAGATAAAATTTACAAAATTAATAAAAATTGATTATTGTTGTAAATTTACGCATTCGTAGTTATTCTAAGATTTAATTATCTGTGAATAGGAAGTGCATTTAACAATTGAAATTCAATTCGAATAATTTGCACGGTTGATTTAGTTTAAAGCACGTTGTAATCATTGTACAGTACATAGGAACTTGGCATTTCTCATTTTTCCTTATGCATGAACTTTCATCGACATATTCGAACATTAATTAAAGTTTGATCGTTTATGCGAATTACTTCGAGCAGAATTATAAAAGAAAACTTTTACGAATAATCATTTCAAGATTCACAATCTTCTCCACTTTCAAGACGAAACAATTCCAATTTTTAATATGTTATTTGTTTAAATTAATATATTTTATCAATTTAGTTATCAGNTCCACTGTTCTGCTTCGCAGAGAATACCTTTCCCAGTTTTGTGTAGACTGTCATAATCCTTGACACAGTGGACCTTGAAATACCCATAAGGTTGACTGTTCTAGACACGGATGCTCCAGCGTGGCGAGCTCCAATAATCATGCCTCTATGCACGCCGGACAGGTCGGACATAATGGCGCTTTGCTGGGAACAGAATTTTTTCATGCAAATGTCACACTGCCAAATGTTCAACTGATACTTTTCCTTTTACCGCCACTAGATGGCAGACTGTTGCGACACGTGCTGGGGCTGTATTGGACAGTCGAAGTACAACACATTTCGAAAGGGGTGTTCCTATTATTTTGTCCTATACCTGTATATACTAATTTCACATGAATCCTAGTCTATGTCAACGCGCTTGTGTAAATAAACACGCACATAATATGTTTATGTACGTAAACAGATTGTAGAATTTAGGAAAAGTAAACAACTCGTCAAACGAGTAATTACATCTTGTATTTTTAAATCAGTTTGCGATATGAAGCAAAACTTAAGAATAAAACTTTAAATAAAACTATAACTAATCTTTACTTATAAGTTTAGAAAAAATATTTATAAAATAAATAACGAAATGTTTAATAAAGAATAAATATTTATTTATTAAGTTATCCAAAACTGTATCGACAAATACAATAAAACCTGTGTAAACCGAAATCGCAGAATATCGAATACTTTTTCCGGTTTGGTAGGTTTCCTTTTTAAACAGGTTTTCTTTAACAGAGAAAATCTCTCAGTTGTGAATAATTTTTTTTCTTTTTATAAAGTTTTTAATTATAGTATTATTTTATAAAATAAATAATACTATAAGAAGTTGAATTGAAGTTTGTGAAGATAAAATTTACAAAATTAATAAAAATTGATTATTGTTGTAAATTTACGCATTCGTAGTTATTCTAAGATTTAATTATCTGTGAATAGGAAGTGCATTTAACAATTGAAATTCAATTCGAATAATTTGCACGGTTGATTTAGTTTAAAGCACGTTGTAATCATTGTACAGTACATAGGAACTTGGCATTTCTCATTTTTCCTTATGCATGAACTTTCATCGACATATTCGAACATTAATTAAAGTTTGATCGTTTATGCGAATTACTTCGAGCAGAATTATAAAAGAAAACTTTTACGAATAATCATTTCAAGATTCACAATCTTCTCCACTTTCAAGACGAAACAATTCCAATTTTTAATATGTTATTTGTTTAAATTAATATATTTTATCATTAAAAGAATAAGAATAATAATAATACAATTATACATTTTATATTTAATCACGAATAAATCATTTAATTAAAATATAAGGCAAGTTAATTAAATTGTATACAATATAAACAGAATTAACTTAAAGAAATGCTAAAAGTTTGCATTGAAAATAAATTAACAGAGTTAATATTTTTATAAATTCATTTATATAAAATCAATTTTAATGCTTTATATACTATTTTTTTATTAAAAAAATAATTATTATTATAATAAGCATAGTTGCAATATTGTGTTTATTTTTTATACAAGTATTCGGGTATACAAGAGCAAAAAAAGTTTATAGATAGATTTCACATTAACAATAAAAAAATTATAAAAAATTCAATTTAAAATATTTATAATAACAAATACAAAATTTACTTAATATATTTCCCTAAATTAATGGGTTTGTGTAAGTTTTTCGTCACTAAAAATAGGCTTGAAATTACTTAAACAGTATATTAACAAAGTAAAATAATAACAATAGAAAATAATTTATATCTCTAACATTAATTTTTTTTAAATTTTGATTTATTTTTATATTATATAAATAATACTCATAAAATTTAAACTACTGATAAATAAATGAAGAATAAATTAAAATACGTCCAGAAAAATAATTTAAATGTGACAAACCCATTTATAAACATGTACAGTACTGTGTATACATTATCTAAAAATTTACTCTTCATCCACAATTCTAGTGGCTACGTCCACCGTTGTACAGGAGTAAGAATGTCCAGTGCTCAGGTGTAAAACAAGTCCTTCTCACCTCATAGTGAGCTCTTTTTTTGTGTTTTTTAAACAAATGAATACTCAGAATGTTTATTAATAAAAATTAGTCTTGCAGAGTTTATTTTCTGTCAATAAAAATAAAGTTAATTTTATAGTGGTAAGAATCAAGTTTTTCTGTGCTTGGAGAAATATGCCCAGCTCCCACTTCTCAACTGCAGAATTGAATGTAGGTTTGCATGTTATTTAATTGAGCCTCCAAAATCGTAGATAGTTACGTTACTGAACACATTTTTGACTATATTCGGAAGCAAATAAAAATATATTTAAATTAAATATAATCTAATTTAATGTTATCTTCTAATTAATACTGTGCTTTAATGTCTTTTCTTTATCAAAATTCATTGACTTTCAAACCGTCCATTCGTACAGCGCATACTGAGTTTTCATTGATTATATTTCTATAGAATAGTGGTGGCATATGGGGAGACATCGTCTGGAATGAAACGTATCGTACGATTTCGGTTTTCTAGTTAAATAAAATTTTAAACAAACTTTCTACATTTAAAATACATAATTAGGTAATTTACAATTTAAGAATTTAAAAAATAAATTTTTTGATCCTGCCTCTATGCACGCCGGACAGGTCGGACATAATGGCGCTTTGCTGGGAACAGAATTTTCTCATGCAACTGTCACACTGCCAAATGCTCAACTGATACCTTCCCTTTCACCGCCACTAGATGGCAGACTGTTGTGACACGTGGTGGGGCTGTATTGGACAGTCAAAGTACNAACTATGTTATTCTTTAAAAATAATTTTATTCGTTAAACTTTTACCTTAGAATATTTTTATGTAAATATTTATTTAATATTTTGCACCTTGTTATCCAATATTTATTTAAATACATTTTTATTTGTATTGAATAAATATAGGCAGTAGCTCTGTACAAATGTCAGTATTGTTTATTGTAATATTCGAAAATAAATAAAATAATCAAACACATGTATGAAACCAGTATTCAAAATCAAATCTTGACATTTATTATTATGAAATCATATGTATTGTTATATATATAAATTATGTATTACTAGTTCTATCTTAGAATTAATTACGGTATAAGTAAGAAATGCTTCTGTTATCTTTTATACTTGAAAAATGGCTTCAAATTTTATTTAAATAACTGAAAATATTGAATGTTATTTAATGACTAGAGTAAGAGGATTATTATTATTTTATAATTTTAATATTTGACTCTTATCTAAGATATGAAAAATGAATTAAATCTGAAACCTACCTATAAATGAAACTTTGAGAAGATAGTCTTTGTATAAAATTCCTCCATCTAATTCTTCCATTTCACTGCAATATGATTCGTTTCGAGGTTTGCATAATTTCGTCCATACAGCATGCAAAGCATGAGCAAATGCATATACAGCGTCCACTACGAACTGAACTTTAGATTCTTGCTTATAACCAACCGATTCGTCTAATCTCAAGTGAGGTGAACAAACAACATTTTCTGTGTTGTTTTCTGTGTCTTTTTCTTCTAAACCATTAGGAGGAAGCTTACAAGAAAACACACTTTCCCAATATTCTTTGAACCATGGATTTCTTTTGTTATTGTAAACAGTTTTGTTTTTCATATACCAATCAAATTCTTCAATTTCTTTGGATTGCAATTCTACAGTAATAGCACCTTCTGCAACATCTTCCAGACCTTCCATTAATTTTTCTTGTGTTCCCCAACCGTCACTTCCTATCCAAATTAAGTGATTTTCACCGTGTCTTTTGGCTGCTTTTAAAATTCCTTTAGCATCTTCAGCTCTTGTAAAAAGTACCACACCTCTCGCATTTGGTTTTGATAGCAAGTTTTTATATATGTGATCGTATGATTCTTCAGTGGGTGAGTGTGGTATTTTTTCACTTACAGCTATACATATTTTTTTATTACGAGCTTTCTTAGTGAAAGCAGTCATTCCAGAATCTCCGTATTGTCCCTCGGATGCCACCAGAGACACATAAGACCAATTGAATTTCTGTACTAGATCTACAAGTACATTTGCCTGATGTCTATCAGGTGGTACCGTCCTTGCAAAAAAGTCATAACGTGTTTTGTCACTTAACGATATACTCGTTGAAGCAGGACTTATCTGTGGTATCCTAAATAATCGTAATAAATTGGCGACTTGCACAGAAACTTCGCTATAAGAACCACCAATTACTCCAGTAATTGCTTTAGTTACCGCTTTCATTTTTGGTTGGCTACCATCCTTACACTCAAAGGAACTGGCATCTATTGTATTCACAGATGCTCTAATAAATTCCATGGATTGATTAAGAGCATAGCTATCACTAGCGCAAGTATCTAAGATTATGGCACCTAATTTGATATGACCTAACAAATTAGGATCATTGTTGATTTTATCAATTGCGAATAACATTGCTTCCAGTCTCTGGATCCCTCTGTCCTTGTTTATCTCGCCACATTTACCGTCTTTTTTCAATGATTTTTGATGAATTGGCACCAGGCCACCGATAATAATATCACCAGGCACATGCACTTTCTTGCCAAACGTTTTATGAATGAAAGGCGAGAGACACAGAAGGACACAGGTGAGAAGGAGCCTGGAGATCATAACATGAAGCTCCATTATTATCTGATGATGTCAAAATCTAAACTTGGATACTTTTTAGCCGCCCGTCCAGCTTTTCATTTTCTGTGGAAGTTTCGAAGCATACATAAGAATTTTCTGGAACCAAGATTAAATCTTTGACTGAAATAAAATTATATAATTTATTTCTATGTGTAAATGCAAAAAAATTCTTACTTTATAATGAAATTTAATATATATATACTGTAATAAAATATTATTATAAGCTTTTAAATTAAACAATACTGCGATGTTCCGACTTTAATATAAACAAATTACATTAAAAAATTGAAAATAATACGCATTACTCTTTTTATTTCATTATTTTTTCATTCATTCGAATCAATATTAACGAGATATTAATAGCAGCAAATTCTGATGCAATATATATTTACATAAAATCTTTCTTAGACTATTATATATTAATATTACAAGTACAAAAAATTTTATTTTCATGAATAAAATAACTTTATGTAAAAGACGAAATGCTTTTTTTTAGACAACGCTAAATAGGTTTATTGACATTTCATATTAATAATAAAAATCAAATATTAAAAGTTATTATAATGGATTTATTTAATTTTATGATAATATTTAATATATAACGATGTGCAAAATATTCACAAGTAATATTACAATGCGTATAGTAAAGCATTGTTGAATGACCTTCTATATAAAAGTAATTCATCAATGCATTTCTATATGCATCTCAGAATGAGCATACTATGAATATGAATGAAAAAATACTGTAATAATAAATATATATAAGCCCACATTGTTGTTGGAAATAGTCAGTCAATTGAATTTAATTCGTGCATTCCTATAATTTTTTCAGTTTAATAATTTGATTTCTTGCGAATTTATTTTATTAAAGATTACAAAAAAAAATAATTCTAAATTTTGTTTATTAGAATAAAACATTTGGTTTTTAATTATTTAAATCATTGTTTATAAGTATAAATTTTTATATATAAATTATTAAAAACAATACATCGACTTCAAAATAAATTTATAGTTTATTAAAAATAACTGTAACTCTGTACTGAAATTTTTTTTTTGAATATATTATTACAGAATTCAAACTTTTATTAATTATTTACTTTGAATTCATTTACTTTTATATTAAAAAATACAATTGGTTAGTGAAAACTTGAAAATTCGTAGTAACATTTTCTAGAAAAATACTCACTTCATACAGGAAACGACATATCTTCGAATGAAGAAAACTTTATCATTTCTATTCTCCAAATCCAAATTGATTATGGATGATGGTAAAGTTGGAGTTTCGTCTATTGATACCATTGTGATAGATACCCTTGATCACAATGGGTTTCAGGTAGTTTCAGGATATCTTCATGGATCAGAGGATGGACGTCAAGTTGTTCATATTAGAGATGGCACTACCTATAATTTATTTTCTGAAAGTCATGAAACTTTTTATAAATTTCAAAATACTCTTAATTTAAATATTTACAAGCTAAAATGCCAATTATCATTTAAAATATTAATAAATAATCGCTTTTCTTACTGTAAGTTATTTAGTATAATTCTCTTAATATTTACGGAATAAAATAAGTGAAATATTGAGAGTAAACATATTAATATTAAATTAAGATTGTGTGCTAACAATTTTTCGTAAGAAGAGCGAATATTTTATATTTTTCATTACATATTTATCATTATAAAATTTTATAATAATATTTTACTATGTACTGAACAGAATAATGTATGTGAAATAAATAATTAAGAAATTACAAATATAGTTTGATAACGAGCAATTATTTATTGTGACATCTTCACAATGCCGGGCTGCAATTTTAAATCATATTATAAATTTATTGTATTTAAAATATATGCTCTCCACCTCAAATTAGAAGTGGCTTGTCCCTGTTCCTCATACTTTTCTTTTAACAATAGAGTCGTGCAGATCATTATTAACTGCTTTCAGGGAAAATTTTTAAATNTCTATGTGTAAATGCAAAAAAATTCTTACTTTATAATGAAATTTAATATATATATACTGTAATAAAATATTATTATAAGCTTTTAAATTAAACAATACTGCGATGTTCCGACTTTAATATAAACAAATTACATTAAAAAATTGAAAATAATACGCATTACTCTTTTTATTTCATTATTTTTTCATTCATTCGAATCAATATTAACGAGATATTAATAGCAGCAAATTCTGATGCAATATATATTTACATAAAATCTTTCTTAGACTATTATATATTAATATTACAAGTACAAAAAATTTTATTTTCATGAATAAAATAACTTTATGTAAAAGACGAAATGCTTTTTTTTAGACAACGCTAAATAGGTTTATTGACATTTCATATTAATAATAAAAATCAAATATTAAAAGTTATTATAATGGATTTATTTAATTTTATGATAATATTTAATATATAACGATGTGCAAAATATTCACAAGTAATATTACAATGCGTATAGTAAAGCATTGTTGAATGACCTTCTATATAAAAGTAATTCATCAATGCATTTCTATATGCATCTCAGAATGAGCATACTATGAATATGAATGAAAAAATACTGTAATAATAAATATATATAAGCCCACATTGTTGTTGGAAATAGTCAGTCAATTGAATTTAATTCGTGCATTCCTATAATTTTTTCAGTTTAATAATTTGATTTCTTGCGAATTTATTTTATTAAAGATTACAAAAAAAAATAATTCTAAATTTTGTTTATTAGAATAAAACATTTGGTTTTTAATTATTTAAATCATTGTTTATAAGTATAAATTTTTATATATAAATTATTAAAAACAATACATCGACTTCAAAATAAATTTATAGTTTATTAAAAATAACTGTAACTCTGTACTGAAATTTTTTTTTTGAATATATTATTACAGAATTCAAACTTTTATTAATTATTTACTTTGAATTCATTTACTTTTATATTAAAAAATACAATTGGTTAGTGAAAACTTGAAAATTCGTAGTAACATTTTCTAGAAAAATACTCACTTCATACAGGAAACGACATATCTTCGAATGAAGAAAACTTTATCATTTCTATTCTCCAAATCCAAATTGATTATGGATGATGGTAAAGTTGGAGTTTCGTCTATTGATACCATTGTGATAGATACCCTTGATCACAATGGGTTTCAGGTAGTTTCAGGATATCTTCATGGATCAGAGGATGGACGTCAAGTTGTTCATATTAGAGATGGCACTACCTATAATTTATTTTCTGAAAGTCATGAAACTTTTTATAAATTTCAAAATACTCTTAATTTAAATATTTACAAGCTAAAATGCCAATTATCATTTAAAATATTAATAAATAATCGCTTTTCTTACTGTAAGTTATTTAGTATAATTCTCTTAATATTTACGGAATAAAATAAGTGAAATATTGAGAGTAAACATATTAATATTAAATTAAGATTGTGTGCTAACAATTTTTCGTAAGAAGAGCGAATATTTTATATTTTTCATTACATATTTATCATTATAAAATTTTATAATAATATTTTACTATGTACTGAACAGAATAATGTATGTGAAATAAATAATTAAGAAATTACAAATATAGTTTGATAACGAGCAATTATTTATTGTGACATCTTCACAATGCCGGGCTGCAATTTTAAATCATATTATAAATTTATTGTATTTAAAATATATGCTCTCCACCTCAAATTAGAAGTGGCTTGTCCCTGTTCCTCATACTTTTCTTTTAACAATAGAGTCGTGCAGATCATTATTAACTGCTTTCAGGGAAAATTTTTAAATTGAAATAACGTAACTTCCGGTTTACATTGAAAGATCTTATATAGTTAATCGAAGCTATTTGCCCCTGATCTTTTATATCTGGTCTCTTCTTTCATTTTTCTAACGCCTTTCTCAAGATTAAGCTGACGGAGAAAAGTGACAATTTATAGGTCCACAGTTTTTTTTTCAAATTGCAGCCTAACAAATAATAAAAAATCCAGTAACGAGACTTAACTTTCCCAGCAATATTTAGAATTTTGATGATGCCATCTGTTATAATATTTTATTTTTAAACGTTTTTATGTTTTTAACTATTATAAAATGACAAAAAGCTTTATTTTGAGGTTATGGATGAGTTTTATAAAAAATTATAAATGCTAATAAGTAAAATCGTCATAAGTTCGATCCTACTGGAGATACACACGACCCCCTTTATATCACCACTTTTCAACTTTTAACTATCAAAATTTAACAGCATCAATCTCCCCAATAAACAAACCTCCCTGAAAAATTTTCGACAAAAAGTATAGGAGTTATTAAGCTTCAAAGAGGGTGAACAAAATCGTGCCACAAACACAAACTTCCATACATACAGAAATTACCTCGAATAATTTTTGAATTCTTCGACGTTTCCAGGTCCCCTGAGTCTAAAAATGTAATAATCTTGGGGGTCATTTACTATATATACCTTTTTAAATATATAAAAAATTACACCGATCTTTTCAACAGTCCTTTTTTATTATCGAAGAGATGTACTTACAACATAATTAGGAGGTCATTTTTTAACCGATCGCCATACTTTTTTCTGTTGTGTATAACAGCCCGGAAAGTAATAGGAATAACATATAAAAGTAATATTATAAATTAGAGATGTAACGCTACTCTGTTATATGAAATTAAAAAGAAACAAAGGATGATTAATCTGAACGATTAGGCCTTATATTTAGTAGCAATCAGGGAGGTGTCCCACATATTTATACAAATAATAAATTTAAAAAAATTAAATAAGCAGAAAAAAAATTTGAATGAGACAAACGCATTTATAGATGCATATATGTATAATATCTAAGAGTTTACTCTTCATTTAAAACACTACTAAAGACAGTAGTACAGGAGTAAACGTGAGTTTGCACGATTCGGGTTCCCCTAATATCGGCTCTAGTTACGTTACCACTTGTATTCATTCCAAGTGTTATTTTTATGTGTATTAATATCATATCACATTATATTATTATTATTTTAAATGTGACAATATATTATATAATTATACAAAGTATAATTAGTAATTAGAGAAATAACGAGTTTTAAACTAAATATCCAAGGATTAAGTTATTGCTTCTGTTCCTTTAAATATTTGTTTATTAATATTAGTCTATTGTGACTACATTCTATTAATAGGACTTATTTATACTGATTTAACTTGCGGGTGAAATTTCATCACAAGTTAAATCAGTACAATATCGTCACAATAAACTAATATTAAATAATGAGTTTATATACAGTTTATCATGAAATTTTTCTATATATAATTTAAATTATTATATGAATATTTTAGAATATAAACTTAATTACATTTTTAAAATATTAGATGTTTGAGAATCGATTTTATCTGCAGGCAACATAAAAGAAACAAATCCACATATGTAAGTTAAAAAGAAAAAAGAAATGTCACGATTTTGAAATATGTTTCCTCGAATATTTCCTTTCAGATGTATAGTCAAGTCTCATGTATCGTCCTAAAAATTTTTACATCGATTTATTTAAATTGAAATATATAAAACTGAAATATATGAAACTTCAGACTTTCGAATAATCATTTAAATAATATACATTTTATATAAAAAAACGGATCAGGAAAACCATAATAATCTTATAAAATTTCATTTTATTATCATATCTGTAAATTGCAATAAATTACCAAATGTATTCGTACGAAGTAACGTAGAAAATTTGTCGAGAATATTATAACGATACATTTTTTTTGTTCTATACTATTGATCAGTTTTATAAAATAAAAATATTTTACTAAAATGACTTCAAACAGGGCGTATCCAAGAGCGTTTACGTGATTTAAAACCTTGTAGTCCCCCTTTACGTTCCTCATTAAGTTCAAAACGTTGTTGTTAAACACATATATAATAGTAAATATATTGTAGCGGAACGTCGTGCACGAGTTAATAAAAGGTCCTTATTAATTATTGAAATATTTTAAATTTTTGAACCCCTTTGGGTTCTTCTGGACTGGCTTTGATATTCCAGAATATGTAAAATTTAACATCACACAATTCATGTTGCATATAACTTCATTATGTACTCTTAATTATAATTTCACTACTCTGTGTTGTTTTATTATGTATTACGAATTGTACAAATTAAAAATTGCATATTTCTAATAAAATAACTGTATAACGAGCTAATTTATAATCAATTATTGTATTACAGGCATTAAAAGATTTTATTTTTATTAAATAATGCTAAAAAATATGAACAATTCATTTTATATATACTTTCGTATTAAGTATTACAGAGTTTCTACAATAAAAAATCATTATCAAACAATTACAATAAATTTTGTACTAATTAGATTAGATAATTTGACTATATTTATTCGAAAATATTAATTGTGTCGTAAAAATAATGTTTTAAAATAATACATAAAATTGTAAATACAAACGAAACATTAAATTTAAGTGAAAATAAATTTTTCTGGGTTATTTTTACGAAAATTTTAAATGCAAAGCAGATTTTTTTGAAAGGGAAAAAAATTAAATTTTTCAACAACTCGGAACTAACTTTCATACAAAACTTAATTAGAAAACTTTTATTTCTTGAAAGTTGTTTTGTTTTTTGATTTCAAAGAGTACAAGAAATTGCATTGAAAAAAAAATTCCAATGATATTGGAAAACGTTATTTAATTACATCTGTAGGCTGCTGTATTTAAATTTAACCGTGCTATAATTATTAACATATAATTTGAAAAAAAAATTGTAAAATAATAAGTTTATTGTGATTAAATACAACATTAAAAGCCCTTAGGTTAGAAAAACAATTTAAACTTTTCTCTATCAATTTTGAATTTTAATTTCTAACTTTTTATTTGCGCAAAATTTTATTTTTTCGATTATGAAATAGTTAAACAAATCTCGATTATTTATGAAAAAAAATTTAAATTGTTAAGCGTACAAACTTCATATTTTTTCTTCTAAATTTATAAATTAAAATACAATTTTTATTTTAATAATATTTTTTGCATTATACACTTTAACATACGCTAAAGGTCGTATTTAAATTAGTACAAATACAATAATTTATAAAACGAATTTTTAATCCAGCAGGAATTTTTATTTAAGCAATATTTCTATCGTTCAAATAAAAATTTCCATTTATAAATTAGAAAATTAACAAAATTAATTTATAAAATAATTTATTATTCTCGTATGTATTACAAATATAATAAAATCATGAAATATAAACTAAAAATAAGAACAATATCAAATTATATTAAGTTTTATCTAACTTCTCTCATCGAACAGATTTTTTTAAAATCATGATTATGTTTTATTTCCTCGTCTCTTTTAGGAAAACAAACGTTAAAGCAAGTTAATTTTGATTTAATGTTATTACAAATGTACTTCATCTATTATTTTTGAATAAATTCTAAAAATTGATTGAATTTTTTATTCATCTTTTGCATTTGAACTTCCTGAAAAATATAAAGCAGATAAATCCGGAAATTATTAGCAAGTTCTATAGTAGCCGATATCCCAAAAAGTATTTTTAGAGTGCAGATTCCACTTTAAAAAAATTTGCAGTATATCTTTTTTGAACTGAAGAAATATAAATCTACCTTTCAATTGCCCCACCTTTCAAATTATAAAAAGCGTACTATACTATTCATGAACTATTTGAATATCTATTGATCATCATCCTTCGTTTGTGATCGAATGTAATTTTACGTTCTTTACAAATGTATATCTTGCAGCATATAAAAACATACAATAAATATGCTATTTAAGTCAATTAGAAATATATTTTTTACTATGAAAGTAGCGACAAATAAGAAAAAAAGGTATTTTTAAGTAAGCAAACCAATGACTTAGTTCGTTTCATATGAAAGCTTTGGCTTAGTTGTTTAGTTGCTTTGTTACTTAGATGCACGCAAAGTTAATTTGTCAGGTACTTGATGCTACATTTAATATTTATGTTTTTATAATTTGATAGTTTTTAAAAGTCAAAAAAGTATGAAAGATAAAAAAAAGGAACGACAGAAATACATTTGAATAATATAAAGACGAATGTTTCTTGCATCGATTTTTAACGAAATGGAAATGTCAAGTTTTTACGAATTGGAAATATAAACAAATAGATTAAAGTTGACATTAACGACCTATTTTATCGGATAAATATTTTATCGTTTTAGACTGAACAAGATTAGAAATTGCTTTTGATGTTAATCGATCGAAAGAAATAAAAAT